TGAATATATATATACATTTATGCTAATATATTTTAAGAAAAATTAAAATTAATACTAATAAAGTATTGTAAAATGTGATAAATATCTTAAATTATGCATAATTTAGATTGAAAAAAAATTTTAGTTCCAAATATTAATATTTTTGATTATCAAGCTATTTTGATATATTGATATTTGTAAATAAAGTAAATTTTAAAAAATTTATTTCAGTTAGTTTATCAATTTATAAATACAATTCTATAAAAGTTAAATTATAATTAAATCCGTAAGTGAGTTAATGCACATTTAATATATCCTTAGAGATGCCTCGACGTCTGCAGTGTGTCTGGGATAGAAATAAACCAGACTCCGACGAAAATGTCCGTAAATACTACTTTAACTAATGATATATAATTTAAAATAATAAAAAAATTCTATTGATTAATTTATTTAATTTTTAACTGAAAATGAATTATATATTGTTAATTTTTTTCCTAAATTTAGGGATTCTCTGATTTTTACGTATTATCGTAACAGTTATTGTTACTATTATATATATATAATTAAAACGCACATTAAATATTTATATTTGCAAAACGAAAATAATTCGATTTTATTAATTTTCAATTTTTCAAAATTAAAATTAATTTTTACTTGGATTAATAAATTGATAATATAAAAAATTTGCTTTCGTCATTATTCTCCTTCAAACAGTTTGAGCAGTAATCTAAAATCATTTTACGTTTTTTTTAGATATGGTGATGGTGACTGCATTCGATGCTTTCGATTATCAAGAAGATCACGAAATGTTATAGAAGTATTCTCTGAAGATTTAAATAGATGTTACACTTCAGAAGCTACTGCTTTGGCTTCTTGTGATAAATTAAATTCGACATCGATTTTATATCGTAAGTGATGCAATAAATATTTAAATTTAAAAAAATTCTATAAATATTTTATGTTTCATTATAATATTTAATTTACATGATTCATTGTTTGTATAGGTACTAGAGAAATTGGAAATGTTCCTATTAGAAATGAATATTGTCCAATAACTGGCCAGTATCATTTTACATATAATCTCAATAATGGATCCGATAAAACTATTGAATGTAACAGCTTTTCATCTTCTTTTAACAATTGTCCTGATGGTTCAATCTTAAGATTAAATTTTAATCGATGCACCTTTGAATCTCATAGTAATTTTCTTTTTTTTTTCTTTTTTTTTATGATATATTTAAAAAAAATTCATTTATTATAATTCATTTGTTTTTAGCAAATCTTACATTTAATTGCTTAGGCAATTGGCCTGGTCCAAATGGTTCTACTTATTTTGCTTTAATGGATAACAGTGCAACTTATGAAGGTAGACCACAGTATAGATGTGGGGTAAGTTATTTTATAATATTTTATGATATTTCTAAAATATTTCTTCATTAAATTTTCCTTTTTAGTTACTTCATGTCGATAATAAAAAAGGAAAGACATACATGGCACTCAGCAGTGATTCTAGTTGTACACAAGATCTAGATAATTCCACTAGTGGATATGAAACACTAGTTCTTAGTAAAGTTCCAAATCAAAAAAAGATGCCAAATTATGTAAAGACTCATGTGGCAACGTTAGTATATTATTTTTAATAAATAAAATTTTATATATTATATTTATTAATTAACAATTTCTAATAATCTTGTAATATTACAATAATTTTCTATTATATTTAATTAATTAAACAATAATTAAATTAGATTTCCAAAATGGGCACAAGGTCTATGGGAAGAATCTCTTATTGTTAATGGTACTATGACTTTCACTGATCTTAACGGGTATAATAGTTACACATTTATTACCGTTGATTCTAATGAAGAAACTGGCCGCTACATCGTTTACTCCAAAAATCAATGGTAACATACAATAAATAAAAAGAACATTAAAATAGTTTGTTTTTATTAAAATTTCTAAAAAAAAAATATTTCTAGTGAACAAGCAGCTTATGTATGTTTAATGATGAGGCAACGAAGTGAAAATGTATTAGAATTTGCAATAGGTATTTATTTTTTAGATAATTATATCAAATATTTATAAGTATTAATTAAATCATTCAATTTATGAAATAATAAATTTTTCATGTAGGTGTACTTTTAAGCCCAGTTTATAAACCCTCATTATGCGACAATCCTTTAGATAAACCTGTTTGGATGACACAAGCACGTAAGTCAATTTAAAAAAAAGAAAAATAAATATATAAATTTTATACTTCAATAAAATAATAATATTAAGATAAATACTCTTAAAATTAGGCGTTGAACGTGCAGTAGAATCACCTTGCCCAATTACTGGAGAATATATGGGTATGATAACTGATTTATCAGGAATGTGTGCTGAATTAAGTAGTAATTGTAACACTCGTGAAATAATGTATTTTAAAGTTACTGATTGTGAGTCTGGAGAACTTTATGAAGGTATTTTCAAAATCAACGATAATTTCAATTTATTAAAATATTTATTGGAATAGCCATATCATATAAAAAAAATTTGTTTCAGAACGAGCATATTTATGCTTAGGACAATGGGAAGAGAAAGGTGTAATGTATACATATACTATGAGAAACGATACTAGTACTAACGAATGTTTTGTTGGTTTAATTGTAAATGACGAAGAAATTTATATCAAAGAAGCAGGAGATCATTGTATGAGAAATATTGATCCTAGAAAGGAAGGAATGCGTCTATATAAGAAGGGTGATTTTTTAAATTCGTAATTAGTATTTAATATTAAAAATGCACATCTAATAATTTAATATAATTAAATAGGTCAATGTTATGGAAATTCCCCAAGTCCTGCACCAACACCAATGAAACCAATTCCTCACAATCCAATAATGAGAATTGCCACTACTCCGCGATCGAGAATTTCAGGTTTCAGAAATCATATTATTTATATTTATTAATAAAATGTAATTTATATTATACAATTTACAATAAGATTGATTATTTTATATAACAGGTGCCACTAATATATCAGGAAACAATATTCCATCATTTGCTTCACACAAGGCCACTGCATCTTATAGTTTTATGGTATTTATTATGGCAATTACGTTTTTTAAAAATATTTATACATGTATTTGAGTATCAATACTGCCAATAATAATAATTAATTTAATGAATGAATACAAGAATGAATACAGAACAAAAAAATATTATTATCTTGAAATGAAGTTATAAAAGTTTTTTAAATTTTATTTAGATTACTAACTAAAAAATGATTGAGGAAGTAAATATTATACATGAAATATATATTTAAAAAATTATTATATTATTGATTGACTGCATTAAAGAAATATAAAAATATTTAAATATTTTTAATCCAATATAGACAAGTATATTAATATGAGTAATAAAAACTTTGTTTTGAAAGATGCATTAATAAACAATGCAATATATAATATATAAATATCTAGATAATATCCAGATATCTTCATTATTTACACTCTTATAAATATCTTTATTTATAAAGATATTTAAGTATTTTAAATGATGCATCTTTTATGAATCTTTCTTTCATCTTTTGTTCATATATCAAATTTTCACCAAACACTGCCTTGTAAGATACAAGTAATAGTAAAAAGAAAATTATATCTTGCTAGGAAACTCCAAAGAAATTCATGTACAATAATTTTTGATTTTAATACATTTTTTAATTATTCAATTAAATCAATTGAGTAAATACAATTATAACTATTAACCAATTAAGAGACTGAATTAATAATAGTATATAGAATGATTCATCAATAACAAAATACGTATATATATTCCATAAATTTGTACTTAAAAGAAAAAAATTAACATTACTTTTTCTTAATATAATATATATTTATTAATTTACTTCAAAAAAGTTGAAAATGATAAATTTAAAACAATATATAAAGTTATTAATTTTAATAATAGGTCCTTAAAATTATTTTTAAAAAATCAGTAACAATAAATTTTATATCTATATAATATTTGGATTAAATTTAATATCAATTTTTATAAATAACACAAGCAAATATTTATATCTAAAATTAGATTTTTATAAATGTGAAATATGAAAATTTAGATTTTTATAAAATGCTTTTATAACTCATTTTTATATTTATATTATAAATATAAAATTTTATATATATATTCATTAGTATATAGAATTCATAATATAGTAATGTTTACAATGTAGATAATACCTCTTCAGTCATAGTTTAATAATAAATCTATCAGATGTCAAATTATTGATGTTATTCATTGCCAATTAATTAATTTTAACAATTATTATTATATTAATTAATTTTATTTAATTTAAAAAAGTCACAAATTTATAGTTTTTATTTGGCATCTGAAAGATCTGTAAATTAAAAAAAAATTAATTATATTAAAATTTCACAAGTATGTATGATTCTGCATTTTAATTCTTTCAATATTTATTTATTAAAATTGTGATGATTAGTATTTTGTATATTGCTAATTAAGTAAAAGAATACATTGTATATTACTATAGGATATTAAAAGGATGCTACAATTTTATACAAAAGTTACATTAATAATTATTCGAATACAAATATAAAAATTAAACTTTATATATATTTAATCAATATTATTTTTAAAATTATTTAATTCTGAAGATCATCCTAACATTATAATGTTCCTATTACATTATATAGAAATGCAATAAAATTAATAATATGTTAGTCACATAATTGTAATTTATGTATGTATAAAATATTTTTTGATAACTTAAATATTATCTTAAAAATGTATATAATTTATCTTGCATTTGTATACTAGGAATAATAAAATAATTTTTTTAAAATAATAATTACTTTTCTTTGTAATATTTTATTTACTTAATCAATAATGTTTCAATTATTTGTAATTTGATATTAAATTTTTAATATATAAAAATAAACAATTTTTTAACATTTTATAACATATACAAATTCCAAAGAATTTTGATATAAAAAAAAATCTATATACTTATTCTGCAAGATAAATATTAAATAACAAAACTTATAAAAAAAAGTACATAGTTTAAAATAATAAACTAATAAAGTATAATACATATAAATATATAAAAATTCAAATGTTTATATATTTACGTTCATGTATCAAAAGATCTTCTTTACGTTTTGTTCCCCATTTATATTTATTACTACCAGATTTTCCTACTACACGATGACATGGCACCAAATATGCAATATAATTTTTCATTATCGCATTTCCAACAGCACGTACAGCTTTTGGTTTACCTATATTTTGCGCAATCTGTTCGTAAGTAACAGTTGTACCATCTGATATAAGCATCAAAGCCTCCCAAACTTTTATTTGAAATTCTGTACCCTTCATAAGAACCAAAATAGAATCATTTGTGGATATTTGTTCGAAAAAGATTTTTTTTATAATTTGATTTATTTCATTTCCAATGTTCTTAATCAATTCAGAAAAAGGCCAATTGCTTTTTAATTCAGCTAACGCTTCTTCGTTACTTTTATCGATAAATCCTAGATATATAATAGCATTATCAGTACTAGTAATGCCAATTAAACAATTTCCAAAAGGTGTAGGATAAAAACCATAAATTATCTTGAAATTTCGATGATTTGTTTTATATTCTTGTGGTGTCATAGTTTGAAAACGAACCATCATAACAATTTTTTAAAACTATAGATGTAACGTATACTGTATGAAAATAAAAAGATACAAATATTAAAAAACAATATATTGAAACATTATTTAGTATTCTTATTGTTTTTATATAAACTTTAAATATAAAAATTACAAGTTTTTTTATTAAATTAAAACGTTTATATTAAAATATTTTATATTAACAATAGAATACATAACCTCGTAATCATTTTCCTTCAAAGGAATATATGATAAGTACTCACTGAAAAATAATTTAAATTTATTGTTATGAATATTTAAACAATATTAATAATTTTAATAAATTTAAAATTTATTTTAATTCAATTAGAACTAATTTTATATCATATATTATTCGTGGAATTGAATTATCAAATGTAAATAAAGCCACATGATCAAAATCTAGATTCTAGAGAAATCAAAATCGAATTTATGATTCCAAGATATGAAATAGAAAAATATTTTTTCGTATATTAATTTATTCATGAATTATTTATTATCAATATATATATATAAATAACAGAATAATAAATATTTGAAATAAAAGATTTGAAATACAGTTCATTTTTACGAAGCACTGAGTATAACAATTTATGCATCAGTGAACACAAACTTTTTTTATTAAAAACACAATATATGTTACATAATTTAGTCTTTTAATTATAATTTAAAACTTTTTTTTATTCTGTCTTGATTAAATATATCTATAAATGATTAAAATCACAATTTAATCTTTTATTTGTTGCGTTATTACATAGAATAATATATTAAAAATGATTGTTTTATACAAAAAAAACTGCACAATTACTTTTTTAGCTTAAAATTATAATTGATGTATTATTATACTTTCAAAAAATAAATTAACTATAAAATAATCATATGAGGTTAAGATTAATATACTTAACCTAAACCAAATTTAATCAAAAATATAATAGTAAACAATGGGTACTTTTTATGGATTCTTTTATTCTATTCAAGACATTATAGTTAGTTTAAAAAATTTATTAGCAAAGCTATATTATAGAAAATGAAATAAAGATTTATAATACATATTTTAAACACGCGAAGATGACAAGATTTACAAATATACAAGGATAGTATTAATAATAACATAAAAAAATCACTTTCTTCTTGTACGCTTAATAACATACGATTTTACTTTGTCGAGATCTGCATTAGTATCAACATTAAAAAATACTTTACGCGATTTCGCATCTGATATTAATGAATTCCACATTGGATACCTCTGTAATCAATAAAACTTATTATATAACTATATTTTAATTATAATCTAATTTTTTTATATTTTTTTCTTTTTGTAAGATATTATATTACATAATCTTACCATAAAAATATTAAAATTACCACACATAATGAGGCTGCGTTTTGCTCTTGTAAGAGCAACACAAAGTCTTTGTCTGTCTGATAAGAAACCAATTTTTTGACTTCGTACACATGACATAATTATTACATCACATTCTTGTCCTTGAAAACTATCCACTGTATTTACGTCAATTTTCACTTTTTTTTTAATATTTTCAGGCAATGAAAATATTCTAAAACAATTAAAATTAAATATACAATAAATAATTTAATGGTAATATATAATAGCTGTCTTATGTTAAATGCATACTTACTTTTCATGAATCTTTGTTAATATCATAGACTTTTGATTATTATATGGTGTAAGAATGCCACATGAAATATATGATTCCCAATTATCCAAATTAGCAAAAGTTAACATACAATATATAATGTTTGCTACAAAATCCGCTTCTTCATCGTTTGAGTTGTCATCATTCTGATTTGAATTAAGATTCAAAATTCGATAGGGGTAAAATGGAAACGTATCATCGCGTTCGATTGCAGTCTTCAGTTTGCCACCATAAAAGAATTTATTTGGCCAAGAAGAAATATCATGTTGCATTCGATACTGTGTATCCAACATAATTATCGGATTATTTTGTTGTAATTCAAAGGCGTTTTGCACTCGAGAAAATATCGATTGATCCAATCCATATTTCTTTGCCTGTGTACTTAAAACTGTGGCCGGTAATTGATTCGGATCACCGACTAAAATCAATATATTAATTCCTAACATTAATGGTATTAAAGTTTCTGCTTCACAACTTTGAGTAGCTTCATCTACGATACACACAGATATTTTTTTTTATTAATACCAAAAATGGATTCCATTTGACTAGTATAACAAGACGAAAGGGTACAAGTGATTATATCTGCATATTCAAGAAATTTATTTTCCGTCATACGTTGTAATTTCATGTATTCTTTGTTTCTAATATTTAGTTCATTTAACGATTCACGATTTTTTAATAATTCATACTTCATAGTCATATCATTCAATTTCATTCTAATATGCTGTTTATAAGCTTCATCCAAATTACGAGAATTTGTCAATTCACATCGAAGAGCATTCATTTTAGATTGTAAAAGCAATTTTTCATTTTCTATGCTGTCGGATGGAGTATTATTTGCATTATTTGTTTTCCTAATATCTCGTTTTGCTAATTCCATAACAGAAATATCTTTCACTTTTGGATGCATCATTTCCGATTGTCCAATGCGAACCATTTTAAACGGTTCATCTTCGTCTGTTGTTTTATTATAGTTCTAACATTTAATAATCTTAAAACGATTTCATCAATAGCAGTATTTGATGGAGCGCATACTAACATTTTAAAAGAACTTCCATTGCTTGTATATCTGTTATTTCCGTATAATATTTGAGTAATTATATTTACAATAACTTTTGATTTTCCAGTACCCGGTGGCCCTTGAATAAAACATAATTTAGTATCTTTATGAACTGCAGCTTTGGTTACTCTATTTACAGCTTCCATCTGTTTCTGATTTAATTTATCTCCAGTAACCAATGTCTCTGATTCAGAAACAACTGGTAACTTATACATTTCAAGTTGTGGATTTAGAATTAAATTTACTAACGGCGAATTGGGAAGAAATTGTAATGCTTGCACCATTCTTAAGCTAGAACGCAAATAAATTACAGCTCTTAATCGCTGAACTCGATTTACTAGAATATTCTTATCAAGACATTTCGTTATCACGGTATACGTTAATAATGTATGAGGATTTTTCACATAATTTTTCAAATCTTGATTAAAACGAGTAACAGGAGTTAACACTGTTGTATATACATTAGTAACATAAGCAAATACTTTACGGAAATCTTTTGATTTTTGTGATTTTTCGTGATTTTGAACATATTCAAAAAATATAAGATCTCCATAAATAGGATGTATTTGTTTTTTATATCCTCTTTTGTGGCTAATACTTCGAGCATTAATGTTGTAAAAAATATATTATTCGAAACATTGTATGTTTGAATAGAGTTTTCAACTATAGAACACATAAATGTGGGCCGTCTATATATATGATCTATACTCTGAAATTGCTTAGTGATTCCATGCCAAATTTCTAACAATAAAAGTGGACTTATAATGTTATAATATTCTTCATATGATTTATAATGTGTTAAGGTTACATTAAGTTCTTCAGGCTGTATAACAGGTGGATCTTGATTCAAATATTGTTGTTCTTCTAACCATATTGGTTTCCAGCATAAAATGCGCCATAAAAACTGGTTCCATTTTGCATTAGATTCTGTGGTATTACTAGGTTTCTTTACAGCAACTTTTTCTGCAGGTATAGGAGCATCTTTACCTGTTAGTTTTTTTAAAACATTAGATTCATCAATTTGATATTCACGTACGCTTTCAATTACTGCAGAAAAAGATACCCGTTTTTTTGGTTCATGAAATTTAATTTAATATTTGATTTAGAAACGGAAGATTTATTTTCAATAAGTTTAGAAGATTCTTTATTTGATTTATTCTTTGATTCAATATTTTTTAATTCATTTGTTTTTTCTATTTTTTTTTCTAATGAGAGTTCTTTTAACGCTGTTTCTGCTTCTACAGTATTTATTTGCATCTTGGTGGTATTAGATTTTTTGGGAATCTTACCCAAATTCGAAATATCATTAAGCATTAATTTATACTCTAAATGTTTTGTTATTTCTTTAGAAATATTTTTATGTTTTACAGAATTTGTCATTTCTGAATTTGAAATATTATTCACTGCAGATTGACTGGATGAAGTTTTAGATTTTTCTGTTACATTTTCTAATTTAGATGCAGAGATCGTGTCTTCGACAAGAAAATCGTTTCGAGTCTTTGTCGTTACTTTCGCTTTTGGTTTGGAAACAATACGTTTCTTCTCTTGATTATTTTCTAAAGATAATCGTTTCTCCTCTATTGCAAGTTTCTTCAATTTCATTTTTCTACTATCTACCAATACTTTTTTTTCTTCTTTAGAAAGGATATTAACTTTCTTCTGTTTACTAGGAGGAAGACAATCTGCCCATTTATGAAGCATTTTACGATTTTTTTGCTCCTTTGCATACAAACGTTGTTCTATTTTTAACATTTCTTCTCGTTTTTTTTTTTCAGTAGCAGATAATTTTTTTTTAGTAGATTTTTCATGTTTTTGAGGACTTTGTTTAACTTTATTACTGTTTCGTTTTCTGATAGGCAAATGCGGAGGTTCTATTTCAGGCACTTTTTTCTCAATTACTTTTTTTTTCTTTGAAGATACAGTATTTTCTATTCTACTAGCTCTATTAGCTATATCAATATAATTTTCTGTCTTTTTTTGTATTGGAGACGAATTCTGATATTTCGAGGATTGTCTTTCCAATGTGAATTTTTCAATATCTTCAAAATTTTTTGTTTTATTTGGAAGAGTTTCTTGTGATATTATTTTATTTAAATTTTTTACAGTAAGGAAAGTTTTCGGAGAAATTATTTCATTTAAGTTTTTTATAGCTTGAACTGATATATTTTCTTCTTCTTTATCCATAGATTTTTTTGCTTCTATTTGTTCATCTATGTTTTTTCTATTGTCAATAAATTCAAACTCATTTAAGAATGGCTTTTCTATATCAATATCTGCTTTTATATCTCCTTTTTTTATATCATTGATATCAATTTCATCATTCTCATTAAGTATTTGACTTCGAGATAATCTGTGTAACCAATTATTATCTTCATCTTCACTATCTGTTAGTGAAATAACTAAATCTGCATCATCGACTATACTATATCTTACATTTTCTATTTCTGCAGGTTCTTCTTTAATTTCATCTTTTACAGATGTATTCATGCCATATCCAATATCGAATAATTGCGAACATGGAAAAATATCATCTTCACTATCACTTAAATTTACCACATCATCTTCTGAAAATTTTGTTT